TTGTCAATCTCTCTTGAATTGTGGTGCCCAGAATTGGACACAATATTCCAGGTGTGGTCTAACCAAAGCGGAATAGAGGGGTAGCATTACTTCCCTAGATCTAGACACTATGCTCCTATTGATGCAGGCCAAAATCCCATTGGCTTTTTTTGCCGCCACATCACATTGTTGGCTCATGTTTAACTTGTTGTCCACAAGGACTCCAAGATCTTTTTCACACGTACTGCTCTCGAGCCAGGCATTGCCCCCCATTCTGTATCTTTGCATTTCGTTTTTTTCTGCCTAAGTGGAGTATCTTGCATTTGTCACTGTTGAACTTCATTTTGTTAGTTTTGGCCCATCTCTCTAATCTGTCAAGATCGTTTTGAATCTGCTCCTGTCCTCTGGAGTATTGGCTATCCCTCCCAATTTGGTGTCGTCTGCAAACTTGATGATCCTGCCTTCTAACCCTTCATCTAAGTCATTAATAAAGATGTTGAACAGGACCGGGCCCAGGATGGAACCATGCTGATGGCACTCCACTCGTCACTTCTTTCCAAGATGAAGATGTTTCTGTTGGAAATGTATTGCTGTTAGAGCTTCAGATTGTGTGGAAAGGTAACTTACATTGGAATTTGCCCATTTCCAACTTGCAAAAATAAGCATTATTAATAATAATAATGTAATCGGCCACATGACCTTGGAGGTGTCTACGGACAACGCTGGCTCTTCGGTTTAGAAATGGAGATGAGCACCACACCCCAGAGTCAGACATGACTGGACTTAATGTCAGGGGAATACCTTTACCTTTACCTTTTAATCGTATTATTAATAATAGTTATTGTTGTTGTTGTTGTTGTTATTATTATTATTATTATTATTATTATTATTATTATTATTATTATTATTATTATATCTCATTAACAACTACTGCAAATTTCCTTCCTTTCTGCAAATTGAGAATAGAGCAGCAGTTTTTAAAAGCCCAGCAGCAACAATAATAATAAGCAGACTTTTTGCACCAAAAAGAATCTCTTTTTCATGTCTCTGGATTGTGTGCAGCAGATGGGAAACATCAAGCAAAGATGCTATTTGTATTCTATTGTTCTTTTCCTCTCTCCAAAATATAACTTTCATTGCTCATCTGGAAGCATTTGGTGGAAAAATGTGAGCAAATGAATACATTCTTGCACAGATCCCCTTGCACGACTCCACTTTGCACAAGCAAAACTTTTTAGAGTTATTTGGCGTGCCATCCGAAAAGCCTCCCGTGGCATCATTCCTTCTGGCTTACTTTCTACTCATTTTAAATAAAATGACGGTTTTCATGACGGATCTGGACCAAACTTACTGGAGGGGTTTGAAGGGACTGACCCACTACATGGTGGGAGTTGTAGTTTACCCTACAGCCAGAAAGCACACTTAAACCCACTGATTATGCACCTAGAGCAAACTTGTCCATCACGACAAACTTTAACTACTTCAGTGGGTTGACCTGGCATGATGAGAGTTGTAGTTCACTCAACCTTATGCATTTTGTACAATTAAAATACTGACTTTTTCAAATAACCTGGGAAACCAGGACCAAACTTGGCACATAGACCTCTCATGACCCACTTTACGTCCTGGTGTGGTTTGGCCATGGACCATGGATTATGGGACTTACAGTACCTTTGCTCAATTCTTGAGACCACTGCAACCCTCATCCAATTACCAATAAAGACCAAACTTGGCACACTGAGTCTCCATGACGCACTCTAGATTCTGGTGCGGTTTGGAGGAGGATGCACCATGGACGATGGGACTTGCAATACCTGCACTCCCTTCCTAAGACCATTACAACTGCCAACAATGATGGATCAGGACTACCATTCACACAGAGAGCCTGCATGACCCACTCTACATCCTTGAGATACATGCGGTTTGGAAGAATTTGACAATGGATGATGGGACTTGCAGTCACTTCACTCACTCCCTGAGACCACTGAGACCCTCGCTAATGACTGATCAAGACCAAACTTGGCACACAGAGTCCCCATGACCCAATCTACATCCTGGTGCACTTTCAAGGAGGACAGACCATGGATGGTGGGACTTCAAGTACCTCCACTCCCTTCCCAAGACGGCTGCAACCCTCATCTAATGTCTGATCAAGACCAAACTTGGCACACAGAGCCCCCATGACCCACTCTACATCCTGATGCTGTTTGGAGGAGGACGGACGATGGATGATGGGACTTCCAGTACCTTCACTCACTTCCTGAAACCACAGCGACACTTATCCAAATACCAAGAAAGACCAAACTTGGCACAGAGAGCCCCCTTGGCCAACTCAACATTCTGGTGAGGTTTGGAGGAGAACAGACTATGGATGATGGGACTTGCAGTACCTAAACTCACTTTCTGAGACCACTGTGACCCTCATCCAATGATTGATCAAGAACAAAACTTGGAACACAGAGCCCCCACGACCCACTCTCCATTCTGGTGCAATTTGGAGGAGGATGGACCACAAATGATGGGATTCGCAGTACCTTCACTAACTTCCTGAGACCACTGCGAGCCATATAAATAACTGATAAAGACCAACCTTGATACACTATTCCTTTCTCAAATAACCCGGGCAGTGCCGGGTCCCAAAGCTAGTTTCAAATAAAAAGCAAAACTAAAGGCCAAAACAATAACAACAAGCGAAAACACCATAGCCTTATTTCTCTATATCAAATGCAGCATTCATGATAATCTACCGATTGCCTGCCTTGATCAATGTTATAGCGCTTTCCATCTGGATCTCATTTTCATTACAGCAGTGGTTCTCAACCTGTGGGTCCCAGATGTTTTGGCCTTCAACTCCCAGAAATCCTAACAGCTGGTAAACAGACTGGGATTTCTAGGAGTTGTAGGCCAAAACACCTGGGGACCCACAAGTTGAGCACCACTGTGTTACAGCATTAAGTATATTGAATTTTCATAAAAGGGACCTTAGAGTGCATCCACACTGCTGCAATGCAACCTGAGCCCTGCCACATGAACAATGGAGGACCTTCTTGCAGCAATGCCAGAAGCACTCCAAGTGGCCAGATACTGGTCAAAGGACATTTAACCAACTACCAAACTCACAAATGTTGTATTTTATCTGTTTGTTTGCTTTGTTCTGTTCGAAATGTAATATAATTGATTGGTTGATCTGACACGACAAATAAATAAATAAGTCCACACTGTAGGGTTTAAGCAGTTTGGCACCACATCTATGACTGTTAAAGTGGTGCCAAATTAATGCCCTGAGTTGAGAAGGACGGGGTAGAAATGTTGGAATTAAAATAATAAAATAAAATAAAATAAATAAATAAATAAAATACATTAATTCTGCAGTGCAGATGCACCCTTCATAGTCCAATTCTTGCTAGGTTTGCATTTGAATACAGAATACATGAAGAAACTGCTTTATCCAAAATTCATCAACATCCACATTAATAATAATAATAATAATAATAATAATAATAATAATAATAATAATAATAATAATTGCATACTGCACATATGGGGACCACCTTGTCAAACATTCATCCACATTAATTATTATTATTATTATTATTATTATTATTATTATTATTATTATAATATTTGCATACTGAATACATGGGGACCACCTTGTCCAAAATTCATCATCATCCACATCATTATTCAAAATTCATCACCATCCAGATAGGGGACATGAGAGATGCCTCCCCGCAGGATTGCAACACATCTGGGCGTCCCCTGGGCAACTTAGTTGTAGACAGCTGATTCTCTCTCACCAGAAGTGAATAGAAATGCTCACATGAACACCTCAGCAATCGAGAGTCCAAAAGTGGCAGGCTAAAAACCGGAACTTCAACCCATGGCTGAAACCGGATGAGAGACTCCCTCCTGGGCACACAGAAGACGGGGCGACTTGGAAGGCAATGAACAGGCTGCACTCTGGCACCACGAGATGCAGAGCCAACCTTTAGAAATGGAGCCACAAAGTGGAGCCCATGACATACGAGTGTGGAGGACAGCAAACCACAGACTACCTACTACAATGCAGCCTGGGCCCTGCCAAATGCACAATGGAGGACCTTCTTACAGCGACACCGGAGGCACTCCAAGTGGCCAGCTACTGGTCTAAGGACATTTAATATAATGCCAAGTTATTTTAAATTTTGTGTGTTTTTTTAATACATCACAACTGTACCTTTAGTTCAACCCTTATTCAATAAATAAATAAATAAAATAAGCATCCACATTATTATTATTATTAATAATAATAATAATATTAATAATAATAATAATTGCATCCTGAACATATGGGGACCACCTTGTCCAAAATTCATCGACATTATTATTATTATTATTATTATTATTATTATTATTATTACATTTATTCACATCCCGCTTTTATCACTCCTTTGCCTTGTTTACTTCCACTAAAGCTTGGAGACACTTGGTTATTTTTGCAAGCGAATGAATCCGAATGCATCATTTAACTTTGGAGGTGGCCTGCAGAGACTTGATCTGCTTTCATCCACATCGGCTGAAATGATGCTCAAATTGCAATTCGTTTCCTCTTCGTTTGCCTCCACCTTCGTAAGGAATGCAAGGCCCAAAGCTTTTCCAAATCAAGATTCAAAACTTCGGGCGGAAAAAACTCCCAACTTTTGCAAAAGTGGGTTTTTCGGAGGAGGAACAACAAAAAACGGAGCAAAAATGAGCCAGAAACCCTTTGAGATGACTCAAAGTTGCCGTTAATTAACTTGTAATTAACTCATCAAGACCAGGCATGCAAACCCTCCTTTAAGGCAAGCTGCAATTAGGAAAGAATGTGTAAATGCAACCATGCAAAAAAAAAAAAAAAAAAAAAGACAAAGGGTGCATTCACACTGTTGGACTTAATACAGTTTGATGCCACTTTAATTGCCCTGGCTACATGTTATGCAAGTTGTATCAACCTGCATTCGTTCTGCACTGAAAAAAGCCATAAAGCAAGTTAAATGACTTACTGAGGGTGACCGTCTCATTGATGCGGAAGCTGCAAAGGACGCGGTCCACGTTCCGCGCATGACGGAACCCGTTTCCGGTCACAACAACCTGGAACGATTCTGCAAATATACACACACACAAATAATTATTATTGTTTGCAGTAGTTTGACTAATGCAAAAAATTAAGGAAAAATAGGACTCGCTTGTATCCCGAGGGACATGTGTGTTAATAAAGGCACAACACAAATTAGCGGGTTTGTTTTCGTCGTTACGGCAACTCTAAAGTGAATCCATTCCTGGGTTTTCGAGGCTGAGAGTGCAACTTGGTCAACCCATGGATTCCATAGAAAGGTAAGGATATATATATAAGATCTGCATAACTACACACTACAAACTCCCCTGCAATATTAGTATTATTATGTTATATTATTTATTATTATCTAATAGATAATTATTGTATATTATTATTTATTATAATTCTATTTATTTCTCTCCTGCCTTTCTCCCCATAGGGACTCAAGGGGACCAACAATCCTATGACACAGCGTAACACGGTTTTAAATAAGGCAACTACTAACATTATGAAAAAAAAACCCCAATTAACTATTTGTTAAAATAAAATCTATATAAATAAAAATGTAATGTTCGTTTGTGGGATTAACAGAACTCAAAAACCACTGGACAAACTGACACCAAATTTGGACACAAGACACCTAACAACCCAATGTATGCCCTTCACTCAAAAAAATTGATTTTGCCATTTGGAGTTGTAGTTGTTGGGATTTATAGTTCACCTACAATCAAAGAGAATTCTGAACCCCACCAACGATGGAATTGAACCAAACTTGGCACACAGTTCTCCCATGACCAACGAAAAATATTGGAAGGGTTTGGTGGGCAGTGTCCTTTGGTTTTGGAGCTGTAGTTCACCTACATCTAGAGATCATTGTGGACTCAAACAATGATGGATCTGGACCAAATTCTACACGAATACTCAATATGCCCAAATGTGAACACTGGTGGAGTTTGAGGAAAATAGAATCTTGCCAGCTCCACTGGCTGCCAGTCCACTTCCAAGCACAATTCAAAGTGCTAGTCTTGGCCTATAAAGCCCTATATGATTCTGGCCCAGTTTAACTGGCACAACAGGGAGGTGATGTGCTCCCTGTATATTTCCAAACGTATCTCCCTCTATGTCCCGCCTCGTAGTTTAAGGTCGTTCGGGGAGGACTGAGAGGTCCTGCCAGCCTCGCAAGTGCGCTTGCCAGGAACGAGGGGCAGGGCCTTCTCGGCGGTGGCCCCACGCCTGTAGAACTCACTCCCCAGTGAGATCAGGTCAGCTTCTTCCCTCCTTTCTTTTAGGAAGGTTAAATCATGGCTTTGGGACCAGGCCTTTGGACAGCAAGCATGACAGCACCTTAGATGTTGAACAGGACTGAAACTTGTTGACAATGTTTTAACGTGTTTTTAACTTAATGTTTTATTTACTGTTTTAAACTGATGCTATTTGTGTTTATATTTGTATTATATTGAGGCTTCGAATTGTGGCCGGTTTGTAAGCTGCCCTGAGTCCCCCCTCGTGGATTGAGAAGGGCGGGATAGAAATATTGGAAATAAATAAATAAATAATAAACCCAGACCATTCCTGTCTAGAACATGCTAACTTAGAGCCCAGTGACCTAGAACATGAATTTAGAGAACAAAGAAGATTCTTTGTGCGGCGATCCGAGAAGAGCTGGGGAAAGAGTTCTTCTAGCCTAGATGCTGATCTAGAACACACCAACCTAGACCACAATGGCATAGAACTTAACCTCAAACAGAATATTCTTCATATGGTGGTCCGAAAAGAAAGCTGAGGAAAGTGCTCTACTCAGAACCTTCTAACCTAGAGCCTTCTGGTCTAGAGCCCCATGACCTAGAACACTCCAACTTAGATCATTATAACCTAAAACAAAAAAAGATTCTTTGTGTGTCAATCCAAAAAGAAGAGCTGTGGAAAGGGCTCTTCTAGCTTATAACCTTCAAACCTAGAGACCTGGTCTAAAACACTCTCACCTAGAGCACCCAACCTAAAATCTCTTAACAATAAATGTTCATTTTGTTTTGTACTATAATTTGATATGTTACTTATTTTGTTTTATGTTTACTGTGTTTTTATGACTGTAAGCTGCTTTGAGTCCCTTGTTGGGAGATGGGGCGGGATATAAATAAAGATTATTATTATTATTATTATTATTATTATTAAATGACCAACTGAAAATATTGGAAGGGTTTCTATCCTGCCTTTCCCCCCCAATAGGAACTCAGGGCGACTAGAAAGTCTCCTTCGGGAGACTTAAAGCTGGGTATAAATATAATAATAAGCCGGTCTGAGTCCCTCTACAGAGGTTGAGAAGATCGGGATATAAAAGTTTTAAATAAGAAATTAAATAATAATAACAACAACAACAACAACAACAATAACAATAATAATAAGAATCTGAAGAAATAACCTAATAAAAATTTAAAATACGGCAAATAACATTTTTTTAAAAAGAAAAACACAATTACATATTTGTGAATGGATATAAGGTTAAAATAAGCACAATTATTTTTAGCAACATTGGGCAATGTGTGCTAATGCAGGCAGGGAGCCATCCTAAAATCTTGCTATAATATAAAATATTATTAAAATACTAGCCATCCCCTGCCACGCGTTGCTGTGGCCCAGTCTGTTGATCTGGAAAATAAAGTAATGAGAAAGTATTGGTTTCTAATATATGTAATTTCTTTATGCTTGTTGGTAAACAGTATTTCTTGTTGTTTCTTTGTCAGTGTTGATGTGGAGATTGTCTGGTTTGCCTACTCTAGAACATGCAATGTATAATTGTCCTTCTTTAGGGGTCCCTATCAAATCTATGATATTATATCTCTCTGTGTGTGAATCATATATATCTATATCTATGGCTGGATGGCTCTTTGTCAGGAGGGCTTTTGATTACGTTTTCTTGCCCTGGTGAAGGGAGTTGGACTGGATGGCCTTAAGTATTTTCTGTTGTGTGGGAAGTTTGCCCCAATTCTGTCGTTGGTGGGGTTCAGAATGCTCTTTGATTGTAGGTGAACTGTGAATCCCAGTGACTACAACTCCCAAATGTCAAGATCTATTTTCCCCAAACTCCATCTGTGTTCATATTTGGGCGTATTGAGTGCCTGTGCCAAGTTTGTTTGAGATCCATCATTGTTTGAGTCCACAGTGCTCTCTGGATGTAGGTGAACTACAACTCCCAAACTTCCAAAATCCCAAAGAAGCGACTTGCAGTTTCTCAGGTTGCTCCTGACACGACAAAACTCCCAAACTCAAGGTCAGTGCCCACCAAACCCTTCTGTTGTTTTCTGTTGGTCATAGGAGTTCTGTGTGCCAAGTTTGGTTCAATTCTATGATGCTATTTGATTGTAGGTGAAATATAAATCCCAGCAACTACAAGTCTCTATCTATCTATCTATCTTCTATCTATATCTATGGCTGGATGGCTCTTTGTCAGGAGGACTTTGATTATGTTTTCTTGCCCTGATGAAGGGAGTTGGACTGGATGGCCTTAAGTATTTTCTGTTGGTCATGGGGTCCTGTGTGGGAAGTTTGCCCCGATTCTGTCGTTGGTGGGGTTCAGAATGCTCTTTGATTGTAGGTGAACTGTGAATCCCAGTGACTACAACTCCCAAATGTCAAGGTCTATTTCCCCCAAACTCCATCTGTGTTCATATTTGGGCGTATTGAGTGCCTGTGCCAAGTTTGTTTGAGATCCATCATTGTTTGAGTCCACAGTGCTCTCTGGATGTAGGTGAACTACAACTCCCAAACTCAAGGTCAATGCCCACCAAACCCTTCTAGTGTTTTCTGTTGGTCATGGAAGTCCTGTGTGCCACGTTTGGTTCAATGCCATAACTGGTGGAGTTCAGAATGCTCTTTGATTGTAGGTGAACTATAAATCCCAGCAACTACAACTCCCAGATGACAAAATCATAATTTTTTGAGTGATGGTCACTCCTTGAGTTGTGAGACGTTTTGTTGCCAAATTTGGTGTGGTTTCATTCATTGGTTCTTTTGTTTTTAAGATATTCATTATGCACAGAGCATTTATATATATATAGATTATTAAAATATGTTATTAAAATATCCTAAGAAGGGCATGCCTCAAAGAGGACACGATTATAATGGCGTGGATGCAAATTGCAAGGAAATCTATAGGTCTGGCTCTTCCTACGGGGCTTTGCTGGAATGCATGCATTTCATTCTGCTGTTTGCATCGCTTTAGGCTGAGGAAGAAAAGCAGCAAACCCAGCAAACGGAATTAAAACGCATTCCAGCACAGGCTCCTCCTTTGCAGCTGGACATGAATGGACGGAGCCAGACAAACGGAGCCATTTGGTAAATGCATTTGGAAACCCATAAATGTATTTATTCAGATTAGCTTTGCCCTCAACTTCGTCCTCTGAGAGAGTGAACAACTGGGAGATGTAGTTTGCCAAGGTCTAGAGCAGTGTTTCTCAACCTGGGGGTTGGGACCCCTGAAGGGGTCGCGAGGGGGTGTCAAAGGGGTCGCCAAAGACCATAAGAAAACACAGTATTTTCTGATGGTCATGGGGATTCCATGTGGGAAGTTTGAGCCAATTCTATCGTTGGTGGAGTTCAGAATGTTCTTTGATTGTAATGAACTATAAATCCCAGCAACTACAACTCCCAAATGTCAAGGTCTATTTTCCCCAGACTCCACCAGTGTTCACATTTGGGCATATTGAGTATTCATGCCAAGTTTGGTCCAGATCCACCATTGCATGAGTCCACAGTGCTCTCTGGATATAGGTGAACTACAACTCCCAAACTCAAGGTCAATGCCCATCAAACCCTTCCAGTGTTTTCCATTGGTCATGGGAGCCAAGTTTGGTTCAAATCCATCGCTGGTGGAGTTCAGAATGCTCTTTGATTATAAGTGAACTATAAATCCCAGCAACTACAACTCCCAAATTACAAAATCATCTCCCAACCCCACTAGCATTCACATTTGGGTGTATTGGGTATTTGTGCCCAGTTTGGTCCAGTGAATGAAAATGCATCCTGCATATCTGATATTTACATTATGAT